CGATAGATTTACCTCCACGTGGTGCATCCTGGGCAACGTAAACTCTTACGACAAAAAAGTCCATAAATCGACAGTTGACTTCTGACTTCAAACTACCATCACCCCCACTTATGTCATATTCGACCCCTTTCACAGTAATCATCTTACCTTACTGTGTCATATTCGACTACTTCCACAGTACTCACCTCACCTACAGTTGACTTCTCACTTCAAACTACCATGACCCCACTGTACGGTAGTTGACTTCTGACTTCAAAGACAAAAAAGTCTATTGATCGGCAGTTGACTTCTGACTTGCAAAAAGTCTATTGATCGGCAGTTGACTTCTGACTTCAAACTACCATCACCCCACTCTATATCATATTCGACTATTTTTACAGTACTCACCTCACCTTTGTCCATATTCGACCATTTCACAGTACTCACCTCACCTTTTTTCTTAAATTCGACCACTTCAACAGTACTCATCTTACCTTTTCTCTTCGACTTCTCACTTCAAACTACCATCACCCCACTGTATGTCAAATTCGACCACTTCAACAGTACTCACCTCACCTTTTTTTCTAAATTTGTGTCTATCTCTTTTACATTTTGAAACACTCTTCTGTTCCTCCCCTCTGTGAGACCCGAAGTCAGCTAAAGGACTAATGACAACTATCATAACGCCTGCCATTTGAAATAAATAAAATAAATTTATTTTTCCCAGCAGTGCGATAAGACAATTTTCTGATCTAACTCTCAAAACTAAATCACTAGAGTTCCCGTCAATGATTAAGTCAATTAGTCATTTCCCATGATATGAACTAAGAAAAGCCTAATAAGTTCATTCCCACAACCCTAACCCTTATTTGAATATTTTTGTGCTGCGCTTAAATGCTTCCTAAACCATCTATTTATATCAAATGGCAGGCGTCTTGATGGTTATCATTAGCCATTTAGTTGACTTCAGTCTTCACATAGGGGAAGGAACATCAAAGTGGGAAAAAAAGTCGAGAGGGGGGGGGAATCAGAAGAGTGCTTCAAAGACGAAGGTAGAAAAAGGTGAGGTGAGTACTGTGAAATTAGTCGAATATGACATACAATGGGGTGAGGGTAGTTTGAAGTGAGAAGTCAACTGCCAGTTAATAGACTTTTTTGCCGTATGAATATACGTTGCCCAGGGTGCACCACGTGGAGGTGAGTCTATCGCACACCCCTTCCTAAACCATCTAGAAGTTAGCACTAACAGTAATAAAAAATAAGAATTTAACATTCTCGTCTGTGAAGTTAGAAACCCTGGATTTACTGAACAGTGGTAAGAAATGGACACATGGAGCTCATGTTGCTTTAGTGAGACAATTGAAGCAATCAATAACTTACTTTGCCAACAATGGTACCAACAATCAATAAAGTGACTAAGAAATTATTTACAGTTGGTTTTAAAATGTAAGAACCGGGCTCAAATAAGACGTAAACTAAGATAGAATATAAACAAATGAATGAGAGACTGAAATTGCCCAACAGTGCAAACCCAATGAGATGTGAATAGATAAGCACAATAAGACGGAGGTAGAAAGCAAAGCGGATCAAGGGAATGACTGAAAAGTTAAAAGTAAATAAAAAAGAGAAAGCGCCATTTACCCTCTTCCTAAATCCGAAGAATGCGCCAATGAGAGAAAGGGGCAGAGAAACCAGGAGCCACATGGCGAGGATGGAAAGAATGGTGGTAAATGAGACAGCAGCAGAGCTATTGAGACCGAGGAGAACAGTGTTGATTAACAAAAGCACACTCATAACAAAGCCGGGTACAAAAAGGCCAGTCATCAGAGTATTTGTCTTCCAACGCAATCCACCAAAGAACTTGTAGAGGCATGCAGAGGTGAAGCCTGTTTAATGAAAAAGGGAGCTTACAAGGGTGTATTAGTGGTTTTGATGAAAGTACACTTCAGTATTAGTTGTAGTGTGTCGACTTCCCAGTAACATTCCAGTTACAAGTGCCGAGGTGTGCCGATGCTAACACACCTGTACCGACATGAATTTTAGATCCCCCTGGTTGATCAATATTCTCTTTCTATCGTAAAATTTCTTTGGGAGTTAACCTACTTATTATTATATAAGATTGTGTACATTCGGTGCGCTTCTAAGTTTTACAGTTAAGAGTTGTCTTCTACTCATAGATGTCTTCCATTTTTATCCAGGAAAAATTTAATTTATCAGCCATTCATAAAATTTGCATAGCTATAAAATGTGCCAAATAGAAAGGTCGTTACCTTGCGTGACTTTAGAGCAAAGATTATAATTAAGGCAACAACATGTCATTATTGAGCTCTAGGATCTGTGCCTAAATCGTAGGTCAATTTGGTTAATGAGACAACTTTTTGTTAGGGCTTATGATGATTAGAACGACCAGAGAGCATAACATTCTTAATATAAAGTCCTTACTGGGTCAGAAAACAATAAGATATCGGCATGACCACGAGGTTATATCAGTCTAATGCAACCTGATCCATGAAACTGAAGTATTTACTTCCAACTTCTAGTCCCACAACCGATTCTTGGTGGGATGGCTTTTGATTAACAGTACTCTTGTAATCCATGGTGAAGAAAAAACCTAAATTAAAGATACAGCGGAGCTAGTTTATTTCATGTCAAATGAGAATTGAGATTGCTTTCATATCCCAAATAACTGCATATGATAGATTGCCCTATCCAAACTTGGTGGAAGTGAATATATGGAAGAGAAGTAGAACTACTGACAAAGACGTGGTTCAATCTAGTTGTGAAAAAAAGAAGTATTCGCGACTGTAAAACGCTTTAACCAAACAGGGGCTGTAACGCACCAGCTGATGCCCCAAAACAGACAAAAACAGCGATAGCACAGGTCGCAAAAGCCCCACGATGTATTGGAGAGAGAATTCCGAAGCAGCCAAAGAACAGCGTAATTACAGACATGAGTGCCATCTGCATTCCAGAGCCTACCAGGACCGAAAAGAGCATTGGGTAGGATGGAGCTCTGAAGACATCTCCATGAATCAATTTCCAGCCAAACTCCTCCTGTGTTTCGTTTGGCTGCAGAGAAGGAAATAAGAAGAAGAAGTAAAAACACTCAAAATATGCTAATATTAGAAAGTAAACGAAAACTCACGTCACTGTCCAACTTGTCATAGCGCATAAAGTCCACACGCAAAGTTCGAATAAGTATAATTGCCACGAGAATGGTAAGGAAGAAGACCAATAGGACGGAATTAATAATGTAGACCCACTGAATTCTAGAATTGGGTGCGTCTGATACTAAATAACTCCAGCGACTATTGAGGTTAGGATCCTTTACCTCCTAAAATGTGTCCAATGTGGCATTAATCAAGAGTTTCAGCATTCATGTGAAGATTAAACAAGCTTGCCTCATAAGTAACGCTGTAGGTATAGGCGATAGTGAATGGCTCAGTAAGTTCGTCCGTAAGAGTTAAGGCTTGATCCGAAAAGCATTTGAGATCCTTGAGATCATGGGCTATGCTAGAAGGGTTTAAAGGCATTGGATAGTATTAAGCTTTCATACAAGCATCGAAAAACGATCACCCCTTTTTACTGCCAACTAAACTAACCTCAAAACTGTGTTAAATGTATCGGGGTGTGCGATAGATTTACCTCCAAGTGGTGCACCCTGGGCAACGTATACTCATACGGCAAAAAAGTTTATTAACCGGCAGTTGACTTCTGACTTCAAAGTGCCATGACCCCACTGTATGTCATATTCGACTACTTCCACAGTACTCATCTCACTTTTATCCTACCTTCGTCTTTAAAACACTCTTCTGTTCCCCCACCCTCTCGACTTTCTTTCACTTTGATGTTCCTTCCCCTCTGTGAAGCCTGAAGTCAACTAAAGGGCTAATGATATCTATCAAAACGCCTGCCATTTGATATAAATAAATAAATGTTAAATGTATCAATTTGGTGGGTGTATTAGTGACTGCTATAACTGAGGAATTTATAGCAACTAATAAGTATCTGCTTTCTTTTTAATACAGCTCGATAACGTATGGCTAAGTCAGAAATTGAATAAATACACTTGAATTCTATATTCAAGCCTTACGCCCAAAAGAAACCTTTGAACTTTATGAAAAAGTTTGGGGTTCTAGCCGAGTTACTGATAATTTCACCTATTACAATCAAAATAAGAGCTTTTTAAGTGCATAGAAATTGAAATGAGTGACCATTTGTCATATGAAAATCAACTTTGTGAAAAAATTGGTGGAAACAGAATACATAATGATGAATATCTCTATTAGAAGCACAAGATAGAAGCACCCTTCCAAAACAAGGTGAAACCGTACTAAATTATGTAATAGGCGTATAAACATACACTGTGATAGCTACTTTGCTCACAATTAGCTTATATACTTACATAAGTAAATTGGTTCGGATTGTTCTCTAGTGAATATCTGAGCGAATATGAACATGCCCATTGACATTTAGATTGGTTTAAGGCTATATAAATCTTTGATGCTGTGAGGGGGCAGACATATATCAGAACGAAATAGCAGTTGAAAACTGTGAACCCTTTTCAACAAATTAATGAAAGTACCAAAAAAATATATAAGGCACATTGCCACAAAAGTTCAGCACAATCGAATATTATTTTACCAAGTTGGACTTCTCAGGGTTCCCTTTGACAAATACGAGCCAAGCTATTTGGTAAACTACTCGAAGATAAAGGTGGTTAGAAAATTCGAACTAAAAGTGATAATATAATTAACGTCAATAGATCAAATTAGAATGATAATGATGAAGATAAACCCACCCCCCCACCCCCCCAGTGTCATAGGGAGATTTTATTCATAAAAGTTGAGCGTGGCAATAAAAAAACACATTGATAAACTTTAAGATAAATAAAGGACTCACCTCATTGGAGTCAATTTGACTAAAGTTATGTGATATTTTGAGGGACCGGCTTGAGTGTAGGAGATACGGAAGTCGAAATGATTTAAAATGTTGACAGAACCCATGGGAGCGTTGGGGACCTGAAAAGAAGGGGTTGATAGATAATGAGGTGATCTAAACACTTAATCCCCGGATATGGCCACTTATTGAATCTCCACGTAACCCAATATCCAAAAGAAAACCCAACAAAATCATTACCCAAAAAGCATTCATAATAGTTGACTTAGGTAGGAGGAACAAAATCGGGGGCTACTACAATTCTTGTATTCATCCTCTTGACCTTACTTATTGTTCCCCGATGAACTTGGAGTCCATGGCCACCAATTTGCAGCAAATCTGATAGTGACCCGAGCTTATTCATCTACATAGCTGTAAGTTAAGTGCTAAGTTTTAGGTATCATAAAGGAAGTTTAACAGAAAAAAATCTAACGCTACATTCTCGATAAATTACGAGGAATATATCAGCAACGCGTGACAACTTGCGTAGTGATATAATTGGTGGATTTTCAGTCTAAACTGTGAATAATACATGATAATTAATTTCGACCATACAGGAAACAATGATAACAGTAGCAAAAGGGATTTGAAAACGCCTATCAAGAGAAATCGAGGGAAGCATTGAAAACAAATAGGACACTTGAATTGATGAAATAATATTGTTACCTGAGCCTTGCATATTTCTGGAACAGGTTGTGAATCAGTAAGAAAACACCCGAGGGGGAATCGTCTTTCACAATGCTCCCCACGAGGAGTTTTGGTGCATACAATTACAGGAATATTATCCGAAAACCTTAAAATGAAAAAAAACAAATAACGCAAACGAATAGCATACTTACCAGTATCTGTTATAACCTAGCCTGATTCCTTGCAAAAGAGTCTTATACCAGTCCAATGAAGTTGCATCCTTGGGATCATAGGTTTTGCGACAAACTTCAACACAGCTCTGAGGTTTCTTAAAGTGAAACTAAAAATATTAAAAAAATCTTATTTCTAATAGAGCGAATACCTTTATATCAGTTTGAGTAAGAGTTTCACCGAAGAGCTTAGCACCAAGATTTGAATATAAAGACGTTGGCTTTTCTGAAATGCACTGATCAAACCTACAATTTAGTTAAGTGGCAAATCAAAAAGCATACTGATAAGGAAGGAAAGGTCCAAACTGGAATGGTGACGACAAACGTCCAGCTAACACTTCTAATGAAGACTAAACAACCAATAAAAATGAAAGAAAACAGACAGTGCAGTCACCGACTGACGAGTCTTCACAATAACTTGTCAAAGAAAGACCGGGAATTGAATGAGCCACAAATAAACGAGTAAACAACAAAAAGGCAACTATGAGCATTGTGCGTCACGTTATAAAGTTTGCGGCTACAGCCTAATATTTTTGTAATTGACAAGTTGTTTTAGTAAAATAAAACAAATACATAGTTTAACTGTATTAAAAGCTAATTCATTATGTATTTTGTATCTACTTATCGTTGAGAGATATCTAATAAATAGTTTCTGATTTATTTCATTAATATATAAATAAGTAAGCTAATATCTATACTTTAACCTGAAGGTAATAGCAAATAGCAGTATTCATTTAGAATAATTCCCTCAGTGTAGTCGGGATAGTTTATTGTTATTTTCTATCTGTTGTAGTGACATATACGATTGAAATTCTGTAGTAATTCATTAACATCAGCGAATATTAAACATTTTGAATACATAATTCAACCATAAAATAATCGAAACGATCGGATGTATTAATTTATATCAAACATTGAATTCTTTACGAATTTCCCATAATAGTCAAATATTCGCCGCCGCTTTAATAGATCACGATAACTTCAATTTATTGAGAAAACTGTAAAATTTAGGATAGTTTTAAGACAAACTTAAAATTTCTCATTCGCTGATTTTCGCTTAAATATTTGGATTCTATATCTATTTCCCCATTCTGAATGTCGTTCTACGATCAAAATGTCAAAGCTTATTAATAAACATTCAGTAATCATCTTAATCATTTCGAACATGCAGACAAGTATCAAATCCTCAAGGTAGGTGAAACATGATGGCTGTTTTATCAGTCGTATTATTACAAGCAGTACCTACCAAATGGGCAGTTTCCATAGTAATACCAATACCAAAAAAGGTCTAAGACTCTAGTAACCTTTACAAATATAGGCCTATTTCCCTCACAAGCATGTTGACTAAACTTATGGAAAGAATGCTTAACATTCTTAGAAACGAACAAGCAGATTCAAGGCCACAAAGATCAACTAACCAGCAAGTAGTCACGCTCCACCAACATATCAAAGGTGCTCCTGATGTAAGAAAAACTCTTATAGCTGTATCCATCCATTTCAAATCAGCATATAACCTAATATGGAAAGAGAATTTAATTCTAAAATCGGCAAAGATTAATTTGAAACAACATGATAAACTGGATGAAAGCATTCATTGGACAAAGATAATGTAAAGTCAGATATGGGCATTCATTGGACAAAGATAATGTAAAGTCAGATATGGAAACGCTATGTCCAATTCTAATCTTTTACAAATAGGCCCATCACGGGGAGCTGTCACAAGCTGCACTCTTTCCAACGTCTTCATCAATGACATAGCTGAACTGGTATAGACAGTCACGGGCAACAATTGCTTACTTTATGCAAATGATCTTGTTATATGGTATTCCGCTCCCAAGAAAAACGCCCAGAAGAGGACGGAAAGTGCTGCCTTAAATTATGCACTCAGACTTTTAGCAAACTGATGCGACAACAATGGAATGGTTATCAGAAACCTCATATCAAACGTTTTAATTGGCCTACCATAGCATAAAAATACCAACGAGTTCACCTAACTCGGAGTGACGTTTGACACAAGACAAACATGGAAAAGCACACTTCCAAAATAGCAGAACGAGCGGCCAACAGACTGAACGTACTGAAACGCCTCCCTGGTAGTATATTTGGGGCTGTGCACACTCAACTCTAAACACCACTTACAAGATGTTTATTCAACTAATAATACAGCTCGAGAAGGCGCACAACCGGGCATTACGACTAGTTACTGGAGGACTAAAATCACCACCCACTAATGCAATAATCCTGGTTACAGGGGGCACCACCATACGTTCCTTTGTCAAAGAAGAGAGGAGAATGCTACTGCCCATTCCCAGGGACAAATTCTTCAGCACCTACGAAAATAGGCCAAGACACCTTAACAACGCAATCTGGCCTGATACAAAAAACAATAAAACTGAAAAAGCATTACTAACTGCAGGCAAACCAGAAAGCCTCCCTTTACCAAAATACCCATTAGAGGACACCGAAGTACCATTTTGCAACTAACCACTGGGCCATTCCAAGAAAGCAGACACACCTCCAGATCAAATGCGCTTATTCACCCTTGAGACAATCAGTGCAAACTACTTTACAGATCATTGGCTCCAGGTCTTCACTGACGGCTCATGCGTAGAAAATCATGCAAACGATGGTGCAGGTGTTTTCTCTGAACTATTCTCGGCACCAAATAGATCTGCACTCGAAGGAGAAGTGGGGACCATTATGATAGTGTTAGGACAGTTGTCCTTTTTGGATATGAACTTCACAAAAGCGGTAATTATTTAGGACTCGTGGTTAGCAATAAAGTCAACTGGAAACTGAAAATCACCCAAAATAGACGAGATACACAAATGAAAAGAACTATATCAGTTACTAAGAGAAAAAGCTAAACAGCAGCATTATAGGCAATGAGCTTGATGGCAAACTTGATAAGAAGGGGACAAAAATTTTTCAAGGCATAGAACGACCGATGTCTTTTCATACAATGAAGAGCTTACTCAGGACAGAATTCTAGACTTCAAGAAGCAGAGTACTTGATGCTTAAACAAAGGAGAAACCGTGGACAGCGGCACTCTCCAACATAGCCGATTGGCCAAGCATCGAAGCTATTTCTGTGTTTAGACTGCGTACAGGACACCTTCACAGAATATGAGTATACGCTCAACCAACATGCCCCCCCCTATGTGACCCACAGGAGGAGATGGAGAAGACGCACCTGATTCGGTTTCCAGCCCTAAAGACAATGACAGAGACCCAGAGATACTGGGAAGCCAGAGGTCAACTAATGATCTACTGTTAACTGTTCTAAAGTCTAAATATATGTTTCTCCTCCCCCCCATCCCACATCCCCCTTCCCCCATTGTGAAAGCCGAAGTCAAATAAGGGGCTAATGATAAGTATCATAAAGCCTGCCATTCGATATAATAAAAATAATGATCACATACTTTGCCTAAATATGGAATATTTTTCGCCAAATCATTTCCAATTTTTACTCATCTTAGAGCTTTAAATGTCGTGCAGTGGAGCGTAAAGGGTTGTAATCGCTGTCCAGGTAGTCTAATGTGCGACCAGACAGGATTGGGGTTCGGAACGCAACTTCGCGTAGGGAGTAAGTGCGGTCGTGAGTACGAACAACACCTTGCCAACTGCCAATCAGCAACCCGCCCCCCCCCCCCCCCGGCTTGGCTTATCAAATCCACCATTTTAGTACAATGAGTAAGCTCCTTGTCTGAACACACACGTCACAAATTGAAGTATTCTCAATTTACACAAAAGCGTAAGCCTTTGCTCCTGAATTCTAACATTGTAAGACTTGGAAGTAAGGCTTGCTCTCCTTGTAGAGAGCATAGAAGATTTATTTATACCAAATGTCAGGCTTTATGATAGTTATCATTAGCCATTTAGTTGACTTGGGGCTTCACAGAGAGGCGGAACATCAAAGTCACGAAAATCAAGAAGGAAATAGAAGAGTGATTCACAATAGTAAAAGAGACAGTTACGAAGGTAGAGAAACTAATGAGCACTATGGAAGCGGTCGTAAATGACATGCAGTGGGGTCATGGTAGTTAGAAGTGAGAAATCAACTGCCGGTTTATAGACTTTTTGGCGTATGAGTATACTTTGCCCAGGGTGCACCACGTGGAGGTAAGTCTATAGCGCACCCAGACCATAGTAGATAAAAATAGACTAAAGTTACATATACTCGTCTTTGCAGATTGTCTTACTGGGATAGATAGACCTGTCGCTGTTTACTTCTTCTTCTTCTTCTTCTCAATTTTCAATTGACCATTTGACAAGCAACTATGAAAGGTGCCTTAAATCATGGATAAAATTTATTTTCCTATATTTTAATACAATATCGGATATCTGCTATTAAAAATTATTCTTGGAGGGAATTCTACTTGAATGTCGATGCGTTTTTGTGTAATGTAAAGTGAGCTAGAATAGCATTTAATCGTAATTTTTCAACATCTGCTGCGGTCAAACTACGACCAATTTTACATAGTATTGAATTGAAGTCAGTACAAATTTAAAACCTCAACGGCCAAATAGATTGATAAACACGTAAGCATAGTAACACGGCTCCCTTACGAATATGTTCTTATTCAAAATCATGGATCTTTTGTGGATTCGGTAACAAATCTCTATTATCTTATAACTAAATTAGTTAAAGTTAACAATAGAGTAAGTTGTGTGGTGGATTGCTACACTAGTAAAGCCTGACTCACTCAGAAATCTCTGTGGCACATTCTCCTACATCTACCTAGACTCCCAGAACCAGCTAAGCAATACCCCAGCTCTAGAGGAAACAGATGCATACCACCGAACACGTCTATTCAATAGGGTTATTGTGAGTAGAGTGAGCGCACACAGGGAGCTTTATCATGATCAGGATGGCGGATTGGGTTAAACAAACAGAGGCTACTGATTGGCCACTGCTTGTACGGTCGATGCACACAGAGTTGTACGGCCCCACCTCCCATTCCTGGCGTGGTGGCATGTCATCACGTTCCCACAGTTGAATCGAATCCATAGCAGGCCCAATACTTACAGATGAGAACATGTTCTCCAAATATTTCAAATACTTTATATTGCAGTGAAAAAGTCATAACTAGTAAAGTAATCACAATACTTATTGAAAAAATAACAAATCGAGACATATAAATAGCAATGCACATTTATATGAAATCATCCAAACATCCTTCATATCCACCTAAGCGGTTGATTGAGAAGCTAAAACCAAAAAATTCATGGTGTGAATGAAATTCGAAATATTGGCACACAAATTGCAATTACTATGGGTGCACCAACTTTTAGCACATCACCAACAAAGTATAGGCTACCAGTCGTTAAAACGTTGATTTTCCTAGTAGACACATCTACAAAAGGGAGGTGCAGCGTTGATTCGCCATCCCAATTTTGTAATTGCGAAATAAATTGTGGGAAGTTCTCATTTGTCAGCTCGTAGCACGGTGTTGAAGAGTTCAGCTTCTGCCATTGTGTAACGCATACAGAGAGCTGTGGTTGCTTGTTGGGAAGTCTTTCTTTAATGTAATATGTAAAAAGTTAATTAACCAATTGCAGGGGAAACCTCACAGCATTATCGATTGCGCGCTAATTCACACTTACTTAAAGCACCGCTCACGTAATCAACGAAGTAAGCAGCATCAAAATTGTGCTTCTAAAAATAGAGTGCGTCACATGGCATTTCAGATATATGTTTACTAAATTAAGTGCAAGCAGAGCAAACCTTCAAAATTGAGAGCATTTCCAGGGGGTCACGACTGCCGGTAACAGTAAATAACAAAATTTTATAAGGGTGTTGTCTAAATAAAAAATATATATATTTTGAGTCAAAGAAGAGCTAAAATGTCCAATAATTGGATTTAAGAACAAACTCATTTGTTTTAGAGGATTCATTACAAGTCTCGAACCATTTGCTGCAACACTGAAAAAAAAAAACAAATTCAAAATCAGTTTAAATAATTTCATAAACAGGAATTAATAAAAGTAAACTGAAGACACAATTCATCTTAATTTAAAGTAGATCTAATTTGAGTAAAGCTACTAAAGCTCTAAAAGACACTCAATTACGCTAGAATTACCCTTCAAGGACCCAATAATATTCCTGAGTTTGAAAGCGAGAATAATTTAAGCTGGGTGAGACGAATATGCACTGAACAAGTAGAAAATGAAAATAGGGAATACAAGGGCAATCCGTTTAGTACGAAACAGGAGAAGCGATGGAGAAAAGGTTAATTCGCAGACTTTACAACCTTTACCCATAGATGGACGACTGTTTGGATAGAGGCATTAGCCGCAAGAGCTGTGCTACTTAGAGAGAGAAAGTCTGTGCGCCAGGACCTCCAAAATTAGGTTGTGGATGATGCTGATACGAGTGGAAAGCAATCTGAGCCAATAGGAAAAGTAACTTTTGAAGCTAGTGTTAACAACAGTAATGATTAAAAATAGCTCTATATCGCTCCTGTTTTAAGTCACACAATAAACCTCTTTTAAGTAGTAGTAGTAGACATTCCCGTCATCACTTAAGCAGTCCGATTCTCAACTAAGAAATCGGGAGAGATGAGCATCTGCTGAAAAAAAGAGTCAGAAGAAATGGTTCTTTAGGAATGACAACAACTTCATTATGCTGTGTCAAATGGTCTGGTCTTTAATAGGCAGTCGACATCTCATTTTTCGAGGCACTTGAACTAATTGCTAATACAAAAAGGTAAAATCGAAATCACAACGAAGATGTACTTTCAAAGTTCTAGGTAATTCATATTCTGCGAATTTTAAATTCAGTCTATACAATAAGCTGGAATCAAAATAGTGGAATGTATACACGTCAAGATAGCATTTTACGTGAAATACTCATGTCCAAGTAAACAGGTAAGAATTGGTACGAGAAACTAACTCGAAATACATATTCCACTGTGAAGCTGTTGGCGGTGCAATTGACAATTGGGCTACCCAAACGACACTAATAAAGTAATATCACTGCCAAGCGATACATTTACCAAGCAATGACTTGAAATAGGCATTTCCAGTCTATTGATAACGTGGTACTACTAATCAAATCAAAGGCTCCTGCATTCAAAACCCATTCAGCAGAAAGTGCTATTTGTAGTCGGAGAGTCTTCAACAGGATCCTTATTATTAGCATATTATTAGTGCGAAAGTATTGTTTTTGAAATTAAATTTTCTATCTGAGTTTTTAAGGGGTGACGTCTTAATGTGTCTTCAAGAGATTGACTTGTTAGTGAACTTCGGTTCCCACTAAGACTATGGTTAAGGCCACTTTTCTTTTGGCTTGAGAAAATTAAGCCCGTAAAGCTTAATTTAATCTATGATAGGCAGTCAATTCAGTAATTTCATTACATGCATACTTCAAAAGAAAATAAGAAAAAACATCCAATAGAGCACGCTATAGTATTGGATTTAGGGTAAAAATGTAATAGCAGAACTTAACCTAGAAGAGATGCTAAAAGAAACAAAAGGCAAAGGGGAACCTAAAAAATATCACTGCACTTGCCTCCATGCTCACACTTGTGTGAGCACAATCTAAGAAAAAGCGAACGTTTTCAGAAACATCCACCTCCTGAAATCGGCCAACCACTTGAGCTGAAAGAGCGCCTGCAAGAAAAATGGAACCAAGAGAATGGAATTAACATCAACGCACGTGTTTCGAGGCGATATCAAATTACATTAAGCCTAGTGATAGGTGATTTCAGCTTCCATTGGTTGTTTACCTTCAATTTGAATTTCAGTTGGAGTGAATGACAGAGGCCTTGCCAAGATCGATTCTAAATCAAATTCAAGAAGAATGTTTAGCACAAGAAAAAACACCTATACAACCCAAAACATTTACAATTAAAATGTATTGTACTATATTGTTATTAGCTTGAAAAAAAAAACATTGGCCACTTAAACCATGATAGTAGAAATACTGGAGGTAGATGTAAAGTTTAATAAAGAGTTTATCAAAAAGACGATTCAAATATTTTTCGTGTTAATGAATAGAATTTTCAGCTTCTTCCATGAAACTATCCATTTTTGGATTTCTAGGCCACGTATGCGAATGTATCGTTGGGGTTACAAGTTTTCTGCCTTCTTCTTAATGTATACACATATGTCCCCACAGTCCTATCGCAATGGGCAACAGTTTAGTGATAATATTGTTTATATTTATGATGACTTAGCTTCATGTCACACCTCTAAACAGTCACCAATTGGCATGTCCGATTAGACTATTAATAGATAAAATAAACATTTCAGCAAAGGCTACGGTACCCATAGTCATCAAACTGAATTCTTGCAATTGGTTTAAGGTTTGTGCACAACTTACTGGATGAGGATTCCGCTCCTGTCGACAATCTGTTTCTTTCTGAATGCCATAGATAAACAACAGAGAGAGCTAGAGAAATATTATTTCCTCTGATTGGAGCATCCATCACCGTTTGCTTTAGAAGCTTCCAGTTCTTCAGACCACGCGATTCACTCTCAATATCTTCCAAGCTCGGGGCAATGTAGAGGGGGCACTAAGCATGAAACGAAAATCAAGAGATATTAGTCATTTTTACATTACCTTCTAGTACAACATTCCAAGGGTCAGTTTATTTCCCAGTCCTTTCTTCGTTCAAGATAACACCACTTGGTATAGACCAGATATCTGTGAAGAAAGAACCTGGTAGAGTTGCCCCAATTACATTTTCACAGTATTAGAATCACACACGAATGACCTCAAGGCTGACAAATGTGTGATTGACCAGGATTCACAGTAATTATGAGTGTCTATAAAGCACTTCTAGACGTTGCAATAATAGTTCATGAAAAAAACTGTTACATGATTTATGGTACATAAAGTGAAGAAAGATGACTTAAGATGCATAAAAGGATCTGATTCACAATTGGGAAAGTGAGTTAAGACGAAAACGATGCAAAGGGAAAAGTAACTAACAATAGGAAACGGATATTTTCGTGATGTGGAGGAACATTCGAGTCGAAAACGTAAGTGCTAATTTTGTAAACCACCTGTCATACAATTATTAGACACAATGAAAAAATTGCCCAAAGAACATACAGGCACGTTCTTCATAGGGCTTACTGAAACTAGTAGCCATTTCATTAAGTATGACGTAATAGTATTGGTCAATGGAAAATCCCTGTAACTCAGACACAAAGACCCATCTTAGAGTACAAATGAACTCAAACCCGAAGGTAGTTCTAGTCTTGCTCTTTGTGATGTATTGCCTTATTACAAATCAGAATCTGCGTGTTTACATGCACTCGCTTATTATTCATTTCGATATTAAAATGGATATATCGCTAATTCCATGCCTGTCAACCCCTAAGTCAGCTAAAGGAGTGTTGAGTAATGATCATTTTTACATGAAAGATTATCGAAAGTGCCAAGGACAAATTCCTCTTTACAATCAAACCATAGTTGCCAACCCTGATCTTTCAAGTGGTAAACACACTAATATTTATTAGTAAAGAAAACAGCAGTTGAATAACAAGTTTTCGAACCCACTTCAACTGCATTTGCACTTTCCATGAAGACATCCATGACTTCACTTTGCTGATTCCAACCAACAACGGCAGGAACATTGGACTAGAAAGATCATGACAGCTTTTTACTAGGCATGATAAGAGATGAGAGGGTTCAGTGTGATCGTATTCTTACTTTGAATATTCCAGCTTTATTCCAGGCTATCTTCTCAATTGTGTCCCCGAGAAGGTCTATATGCTCAAGTTCAATTGTGGTAACTGCAGTCACGAGAGGGCAGCTAAAGGCAAAATGCAACATATCCTAAACCATTGTTTTAAATATAAGCATCGGCAGCCCAAAGTTAGGTTTAGTATTCACAAGAAATGCTATGCATCGAGTAACATATGACACAACTGTGCCTACCGGATAAAATTCGTGTGGTCATATTTACCACCTAGACCAACTTCCAATATCGCTACGTCAACCTGAAAAAGAATTGGCAATCATGATATAATAATTGCTCAAATAGGAATGAAAAACTTACTTTCTCGGATAAAAAGAGGCGTAGAGCCAAGTGCAGGATAAAAGAAAGAAAGGCGGGTTTCGGGTACATCGGAAAATACATACTCTTAAAAAACATATGGAATTAAATTTGAGTTTGAACTTTTTGAAATTTCCATTTCGGCTTTGGAAATTACCTTATTCTCTTCGAATCTTTCATATAAATTCCAAAATTCTTTCGCAAACACATCTCTACCAACAGGTAGGCCATTAATTCGAACACGTTCTTCAACATTTATGAGATGTGGTGAACTGTTTTTTTAAAAATATGCCATTTCAATATATTCATTATGAAAAAACGTAATCATCGAGTTAATGATTTTACGTGAGTAGTCCAGTACGATAGCCTTCTCTTCGTAGAATACTTTCGATATATGCACAAGTTGATCCCTTTCCTTTCGAACCAGCAACATGAATTAAATTAAGGCTGTCAATTTGATCGAGCTATTTAAGGTTAACTAAAAATAAGTCATTTAGTACGTCAAGTCCAGAGGCCTTCAAGTAAGCAAGCTGGATATTCATTCGTAATGAAAGAGGTGGAGGTGAACATAGTTTTTGATTATCCAATAGCTCATTGAGTTTTGCAATCGCATCCTTATTAAAATTTGTGAAAGTTAAAAATACTCCAAACTTCATAGGTCTTTGTCCTCGATGTCATTTCTCAGATAGTAAAGGCACTTATGAACTCCCACAATTTATTTTACATTTCAGTCATTATTTGGTTAAAACACAATACATATTTAAACTATATTTAAAGTAATCGTTTAATGAGTAACTTAAAAGTGGAAGTAATTTCGATGTTTGTAATAATGCATTTTTCATATGTTCCCAAAATTTTCAGAATTAATATATGTATATTTAAATGAAAATTGAACTTATTTACTAATATTCTGAATAAATTCTTACAGTGTGATTCCTTCTTATAGGAATCAAGCCTATTTAAATAATATTTCCATAAAATACTATTGCAATTGCGGAATTAAATAAAATGTGATTTTATGCAACTGAGTCTCAAATGCACAAAAATAGGCGATTTCGTAAGTTAAAAAAGTCTTTAGATCATCAGAGATAAGCTAAGTGAAAACTCCCACTGAGTTCTGCATGTTAACAATTGAATTAATATCTGATCTAAGACAAAAATGTACCGAATCAATGCAATCTTCATTGTCATCTTTAAGAAATATAGAAATATAGAACCTTGTTTACTGACTTTTACAAGTACTTTTAATTGACGACGACCATCATTTAAACTACTGTTTGCTGATCGATGCACAACAGATGGCATGTTTCAAAACCTTGAAGCTCAGAATTCCATTCCCAGAAGGAGATTAATAAGAGCTATAATTAGACACAGGACAAAATTTGATTATCACTTTGAACCAGACAAGTGGGTCAAACTACAAATACAAAGTTCCTTGGTTATATTTCTGGTATAATTGATAGAAATGTCATTTCCTTATGGGAGAACATTTGAAACCGATTTCAATATTTCATTTTGAGATTGTGAAATCAGATGTGCCGGCACATCTATTCCATTGATATTGGTAAATGCATGCTAGAGTTAGAATTCAAGCTATTTATGATTTTATAACACAGAATATTCAGCAGTCCTTCACTACTATGACTATGTTAGTTTATGAAGTGACCTTTTATCATCTGACAAAGTCCATGCGTGAGATCTCATTCAATTCAGTTGCAGAGGTCACTTTTCACATGCTTATATAAAATACTTTTAACTCTTCTCATACGCACAATGTCTCAGAGGCGACTTCAAAAAGAAGTACAGGATATTCTTGCTAATTCACCAGCCAACTGCTCCGCTGGACCTGTGAATTTTGATGATCGTAATTTGCCAATGATATGAATTTACTCATTTAAATTTAGTGTACCATTGGACTGGAACTATAATTGGTCCGGTAAGTCACGTTAGCATGTTAAGAGACTATTTCGAAAAGGCAAATAGCCCCTATGAAGGTGGATTATTCTATCTCGAGATACGATTCCCTACTGAGTATCCTCTTAGACCCCCAAAGGTACTCTCAGTTTTGTGCTTACTGTCGTGTTTCCTTAGGTTCAATTTACGACAGAGGTCTTCCATCCAAATATAAGCCAGAATGGTCAAATATGCTTGGATATACTCGGCCCAAAATGGTCACCAGCTTTCAACGTTTCAAAAAGTAATTTCCTGTTATTTCATAAGGCTAACTATTGTCCTAGTACTTCAATCTCTCTGCTCCTTGTTATCAAAGCCAAACTTGAATGATCCCTTATCTCCGGATGTCGCAGACCTCTACACAAACAACTATGAGTCATTTTTAGAGAAAGCTAAAAACCATACTCAAAAATACGCAGTTCAATAAAAGCTGTTTTCCTGATATCAAACCAGTTTTGTTTACAATTCTAATAACTATATCCAATATATTAATCAATATTATTTCCTCTTTATTTGCCGTCTGTCTTCATTATGATTTTTGTGGGTGAGAGGGGATTTTGTAAATCGATGGCACAAATATTTCCATCATTTGTATATGCCTTTTGGTTTACTTTGATTCTTAAATTCACCAGAGGGCTCTTCGAGTTTAAACGGACTCCTTGAAATATGTCAAGAATATTTTGATGCCGATAAAGGTTATCTACAGCAATTTTTAACCTTGTCTGCGTTTATACACCCACCCGATCACTCACATGTGACTAAGACAAAAATTGGTCAATACGCACGACAGAATTAAAGTGTATAAGAATAATGTGCAATAAGTGATAAAACATTTCACATGGTGGAAAACACCAACTGAAAGAATTGCAAGTTGTTCCCTTTACTGGAACGCATATGCTTACTATTTAGTAGTGGAATGCTATGTGTAGATGATGGAAATTTACATCTATTGTCTCTACTCTCAATCCTCTAATCTTAGTATTTATGGATATAATTCAAAACGGGAAAAATTTACCAATGCTTGAAAATCAATTTAACCTTGGAAATTGTTAACTAATTCTGAAAATACTAAAGGGGAACTATATGGTGAAGTTAGATAACAAAGACGTATCTGGAACAATTTGTTAGACAACAGACAAATCGATAAATATATGTGAACAAAAGCAAAGTCCTACTGGATTAAAATGAGTTCGGCCGTTTAGTATATGGAAAATAACTATATCTTACCTCAGAGTACCTTGTAACTGTCACATTTGGGCATTAACAGAGTTAGAATTCGATAATTTTCCACCAATTTTTTCTAATGGACATGGTGTAATTATCAATTACCAGCTATGCACAGATTAAGTTTGGCCACCTATGGAAATAAAATAGGCATTGTGAATAGCGTATGGATTCAGATTTCGTTAATCCAGTTGCTTATTATGAACAGGGCATATAAATTTTTGCCCCAAGATTTGTAAGGAAAGTACGAGAGATATTTACTGACTACCTTGTGGGGAACACAGCACTAAAATTGGTGGATCAAAGAGCTTTCCGGAACCAGTGGTGTGCTAATTATCCCCTAACCTTCAAGCTCGGCCTCCAGGCCTGAGAATGTTTGCGATCATGAGCTCAGAGAACTCTTAGGCAATAGACAATCAATGGTCAAGATATGGCTTATGCAGCAAAATTGATTTATATCAAATGGCAGGTGTTTCGATAGTTATCATTAGCCCTGGAGCTGACTTCGGGCTTCACAGAAGGGAGGAGCATGAAAATGAGAAAGTGCCGAGTTGGTTGGGGGAACAGAAGAGTGATTCACAGATGTAAAAGAGACAAACAGACAGACAGACAAACACAAAGGTAGAAATAGGTGAGGTGTGAACTGTGGAAGGGGTCAAATATGACATACAGTGGGGTGATGGTAGTTTGAAGTTTCGAATATGACATACAGTGGGGTGATGGTAGTTTGAAGTGGAAGTAGACGAATATGACATACAGTGGGGTGATGGTAGTTTGAAGTCAACTGCCGGTTAATAGATTTTTTGCCGTATGGGTCTGTTGCCCAAATATGACATACAGTGGGGTCATGGTAGTTTGAAGTCAGAGGTCAACTGCCGGTTTATAGACTTTTTGCCGTGTTAGGGTTAGATCAACTGCCGGTTTATAGACTTTTTTGCCGTATGCGCATACACAATGACATACAGTGGGGTGATGGTAGTTTGAAGTGAGAAGTTGTGACATATAGTGGGGTGAGGGTAGTTTGAAGTCAGAAGTCCACTGCCGGTTTATAGACTTTTTGCCGTATGAGTATACTTTGTAACATACAGTGGGGTCATGGTAGTTTGAAGTCAGAAGTCAAGGCATACAGTGGGGTCATGGTAGTTTGAAGTCAGTGGTCAACTATACAGTGGGGTGATGGTAGTTTGAAGTCAGAAGTCAATTGGCGATAAATAGACTTTTTGCCGTATGAGTGTACGTTGCCTAGGGTGCACCACGTGGAGGTAAGTCTATTGCGCACCCCAAGAAGTCAGCAACACCGGGTATTCCCAGCCCGGCGTAGTTTAACTAACTTCTGTTAGTGACTAAGCTCCGTGTCTGTGACACTCAGGTTAGATGGAGGTATTCTACGTCAGTCATTTGTTTTCTCTATGATATTGAAGGAATCTTTCCACAGAGGATAAGGTAAGGCTCACTTACGTAGCAATCCACTACAACTTTCCATTAGCTTCAATGAATTCTAAGCAATACCTGGCCACATTTTTAGTATTGCCGATATTTAAATAAGGTGTCTTCCTCACTTGGTTTACCAAATCTCAAGTTAGTAAATAAATTGGTGCCAAGTGATTAAATTCAACATTTAACAACCTCAATAAAGAAGTCAATAATTCAACAAATTTCTCAAATTTTCCTTGATTGCCACTAACATTGATGTTCAGCTTCACAACTAGGTATGAATCATATTTTTAAAACGTTTCATTAGCCAAATGATTACCACCTGGTAATGTATTTTGTTGATGAGCCTAAATTATTCTCCATCTTAAGGCTTTCTACCAAATTATAATAAGTAGAACAAAGTTTACAATTTTGAGAAGTAAATATTTGCTTTTGCATCAAATAGTTAACTAGTTCTAGAACTCAGTAATAATAAGACAAATCACAGGTATTGAGTGCTTTATCCAAATTGCTACAGAGCAATAAGAAATGACTTTTTAGATCTTAATAAGTGTGTGTGCAATTTATAAAGCAACAATGAAGTGGGCACTTTACTGTTCACTATATAAAAATGACCCTTCTGCCTATTTTGCACGCATGTTTAGGCGTGTGAAGTGATTGGCGATCAAGCGGACATAATTTTGGGAATTGCCATGATGTTATAGGCGAAGTTGGCGTGGAGACTGCTAGTGACGGGCCAATTTTGGATTTCATAGCGTGTAGGAGGTTCGGTAATTACCCGTTTTTATCACGAAGTTGTTCAATTTCATGTTGTCATTTGAGCAGAATTTTTAACAAAGACATATGAATGAATGAATGGTGACAGAAGTGGTATGAATATTACGGCAATATCTCGCCTCATTTTTGCAGTAAAGACTTCACTTACGCGAACAACCTCCCGATCATTTTGCGAAGAACTGGACGATCTTCAACTCGCTTTTGGTTAGCGGTTGGCTGAGAGATTTCTACACTCGTGACCACGCTTGCTCCTTACACGACATTTAGTCTGTTTGGGTGCGCTAAAAAAATCGATTAACAGAAATTCAAACATGAACTTGAATATCATGTCATTTCTCACCTTTGGCCATAGTTTTAGAGTATCTGCTTGAAAGCTGGAGAAGGTAACTCTCCTGAAAAGGATAGAATTATTGCAATTTTGTGGCCCTGCATTTATTCCACATACATTTAGTTAGATTACAGATCAAAGCATCAGATAAGTAAGAGCCAATTGAAAAGCGTCATCCTTTCTCGAATGACGTAAGAATTATTTCCTTTGACCACTATTTCAACATCATCTTACTTGCAACCCGAATAGAGCAAAATACCCTGACCTCAAGAAAGTACTCTGTTCTGGTGTGTCCTCAGGATGGCCTATTGCCTCGACAAAAAAGCTTCATCCCAGATATTTCTTCCCCTCCTATGTTGGAAATACGAGAGAGTGTAAATCAAGTGCTTAATCAAATTTGAGCTTGAAAATAAGATCCATTACACTACCTATCTACCTATGTTATTCATTTATCAACTAACCTTCCAATTAGTTTGTGTTTCCCATGCCAAGAACACTTCTAACCTGAAAAGTCGTGATTGTTTTAACCATCTCAAGTTACTTTTTATCATTAGTTTACATCAATGGTTACTTGGAGCAAAATAAACTTTGATGTGTCTGATTGTCCACTGTACTCAAAATCTTCATTGCTATAAAGAGTCTGGATTTGTATTCACTCATTCAGAGTAAAATCATGCGTAAACAATATATATATATATATATATATATATATATATATATATATATATATATATATATATATATATCAACAAGAACTGTACAGTAATCTAACGTGACGAACGCAAGTGTTCAATGTGTAAGCGAAATTATGAATTGTTTGCCAATTGCAATATTCGATATCTCTGTTTATAATCTAAAGTTAACCATTTCGTAAGAATTCAAATGTATCGCAATTAAAAATTAAATATCGTGAATCTGAAATTTTTGGGTACACATTTCAAAAGTATTTAAAGTTGAAGTGGAAGAGAGGTTTTCCATGAATTTTTCCTATGCATGAGGGATTTCAATGCTTTGGTAATCATTTAAGTTGTCAATAACAGAGATAATTTGATCGGAATTAGTGATTCAATTTGAAAAAATTAGGAGAGAAGTGGTGTTAAGAGGACCAGCCTTGCCCGGAGTTCTACTACTCAATTAGAATTTTACTTAATCAAAAATTACCACTAGCACAACCAATAAACTCGATGAGCCGACTACATTGCTTTGTTTAAATGTACCGACGAATGAAGTATGGAGCAGACCATATTGAGTAAATAGTACCAAAGTTATAGTTCTTATTATCACTTTCATGGCAGCCTCTGTGATGATAAAATAAAACAAACTATTTCCTTCCTCTGATCAGAGTAATAATGATCAAAGAATAATTAGGAAGGCGTGGCGTGCTTCCGATCGCGTTGGGGCAGGCTCGATCTTGCGTGCAGTGGCCTTCTGAACCAATAGGTGATTTATGTTCATTCAGAGTTGAGTTAAGTATATTCATTTACTGATCAGTTTGTAATTAGCCAACTTTGCCATAAATGTGTTTCTCCCCATGCACTCTGTATCCCAGACAATGTAAACATAGCTTAGCTGAATTCAGGAGGAATTTTACGCAAAATTATCTTTTCCAATGAGGATTATTAAGGCTTAGTCAAAGCTTATTTGAGCTGAACTCTCAACAATGT